AAACGCAAGAGATTCTACAAACGCATTCTTTGAGGCATTATCATATAAAACAATAAAAATGCCATGACTGGACCACTTCTCTATTCTTGCTTCTATTCTATGTCTGCCAATTTCTCTCATTGAATCTGAAACTTAAAGGTTGAAAAAAAAAACATTGTGATTGGAAAACAATTTTGTTGTTTATTTCTCTTTTGTTTTTCAGAAGCTAATATAGAAAACAGACCTCTTTTGACATTTACAAATGAATGCATGGATACCATTGAGAAAAAGTCTGAGGAACAAGTACAAGGGGAACTTACAAAAAGAGATATTATGCATTTTGCAAGAAGAACATCTGTCATCAATATTGATGATAGTTTCACTGAAAGACTCGACTCATCGTTTGACATTTCAACTGCTTTTTTGGATCCTATGGTCAACAGGCGAGTTTCCAGAAAAGCATCACTTGGTCAGTGTTTGACCAAAAAGTCTGCAGAAGAGTTTGAACTGAAACAGAAAAGGAAAATGTCTGTACCTAACTGTATGACGACGTACTGTAATCCACAGGAAAGGTTTTCTGGTGGACATTTGGAGGATTATGGGGTGTTGTCTGAAATACATGACCTTGAAAAATACACTAGTCTGTCGTACAGGACAGATAAATTAAAAGTGAATGGTATGTCCATTCCAACACATGGTGCTATTACCCCCGAAGAACTTCATCAAAGGAGCATAAAAACAAAAGATATTTATATTGAAAATCTTAAAAATGACAATAGTACTGGGCCAATACGAGAACAAGAGTATGAGCTAATGGCTCCTTTGACGTCTCCACATGAAACGACTAATGATCTTACAAATTCTCAAAATCGAAAAGAGCTGATTCGTGATGCAGAATATGAATTGATGGCACCTCTGAAAAATTCCCAAAGTAGTAATAGTCAAGAAAGCGATGGATCATCTAGTAGCAGTGGGAATTACCATTTTCATACGACAAATTCAATGACACTTATTCGTGACGCTGAGTACGAACTTATGGGGCCGTTAGCGCCAGTACAAAAAACAAATGTCCCACCAAATGGGCCAATCAGAGAGGCGGAGTATGAATTAATGCATCCCCGTGGAACAATCCCTTGTCCATATCGGAACCTACCATCAAATAGTAAACTGATGCAGCAGAGAAGTATAGATTTAAAAAACAATGAAGTTGGTCCTGTGTCTGGACCTATTCGTGATATTGAGTACGAAATAATGAGCCCACAAAAACAGGATGTTAATCTCACTCAGTCTGATTCAGATGGAGCTAAACAGGGTAGTGGCGGCTCCTATATTGACTTCAGGAAACACATTATGCCTCGGGATGACAAAAAGGACTTGTTCACTATGCTGGAATTTGGACATTCAGCAGCTTTACAAAACTCTCATGATACATCCCCTAGACCGTTGCCAGTGAGTTTTAAACTGTTAACTCCACCATCGTCTCCTACCCATGACACTCCACCACTTCGACCCAGACCCGTTACATGTAAATTGCAAGGTGTCAGTACCGAGGATAATATTCCAGCCCCATTCGAGCACAGTGAACTACTTCTACCAACACAGTTATTAACACCACCATCAAACAAATCAGAAAGTCAAGTTGCCTCTCCATACTCCCACGCAAAGGGTAAGCATGCTGATGTCACTTATTCTAGTTTTCTTATACAGATACGTGCAGTTTGTTCTTCCTATGGAGTGCAAAAAAATTGACAAATCCTAGGAAAAAAAATTGCATAATGATTAATGCTAAAAAATTAGATAAATTGTGATTGATGCACAAAAACATCTGTCCTTTATTGGCTTCTTTTGCAGCACTGCATTATTAGGTAGTCCTAACATTGTCTGTTATGTTTGTAATGCCTTTGCAATCCACCAATTGATCAACAATTTTTTATACATGTTGCTCAATAATTCTGTGCTCAATTGTTTAAATTTTAAATGAATAACTTTAAGACCATTCTTTCTTAGCAATGACTATTTTGATTATATAGTAGAATTTTCAGCATAAAGAGACAACATTTAGTAGCTGGTGTTACTGTAGAATACTTTCTTTTCGCTTGGAATTTATTTTCGCTGATGGGATGCTTCAGTGTAAATAAAATTCAGCAATTATACTTTTTCTTCTATGTCTAACATTAAACTAGTCAAAAATCAGTGAAAATAAATTTCATACAAAAAACCCAAAAGCTTTTTCAACGGAAATTAATTCCAGCTAAAATAAAGTATTTCACAGTTTTACAGTCTGAGGATCTACTAATATTTCTTCAGCTGCAGGCCTATTCTCATTTTCCAAGCTTCAGCGGAGTTTGTTAGTCTCTGCCTCAAGTCAAGTGAATTTAGATATATTTATCTTCTTCTGTATCGCCCGCATTCGTGCCAACTGTCCAATTGCTTTGATTATACATATAGGTAGCTCAGGTGGATCGATCTCGGATTTATTCATTTGGTGATGATATCGTCAATTCTTTAATTGAAATGTGCATACCTAATCTCAGCTGAAAGGCCATTTGTTAGTCCCTGTTCGAACGTAGTCTGAAAACGGGGACTTATGTTTTGCCCTGTGTGCATCCGTGTGTCCGTGATCACCTGTATCTCAAACATGCATGGACCGATTAAGTTCATACTTCACTCATACATCACACATTATATGGGACATATGCACATGCCATTTGTTTCATGATCTGATTAATGATAGCCGAATATCGGCCATTTTAAGGCCAAAAATGCATCAAAATCACACATTTTCACCATTCCGGATCTCAGTTATGCATGGACGGATTTGTTCAAATTTGGTACACATTAAACATAATAGGACCTTGATGCACGTAATTTTTTTTTTTTTGGATCTAGTTTGAAATGGCCGACTGGCGGCCAATTTTGTTTTAAAGAATTCAGTTCTGGATCCGTATCTGAGACATGCCTGGATTGATCGAGTTCAAACTTCACACACACACATGGTACATCATGTCACAAATAGATATGTGCATTTGTTTCATGATCCGCTTAACAATAGCTAAATGATGGCCATTTTAAGGCTGAAAATGCATCAAAATCGCGTATTTTCACAATTCCGGAACCGGATCTCAGTCATGCATGGATGGATTTTGTTCAGATTTAGTACAATGTGTTGTACATATGCAGGTGCATTTCGAATCAGACCATTGAAAGTGGTCTGAGATTTGGGTCATGATCTGCTTTGAATGTATATGTCACTCAAATATGAACGGAACGGAACGGGGACGTGTCATTGACAATGACTTGTTTATGTATTCTTTTGTGTGATCAAAATACTAAAATATGAAAAGCATTTTAGAAAAAAAATGTAATATGGGTAAAAAAAAAAAAAAAAGAGTGCTGCCAACAGCAAAGTTGGCTGATGCTTGAAGAATGGCTCATTTCAGTGATAAGTGTACGTGTGTGTACACCTGCTATTTGCTGTTTAATCTTTGTGTCTTTTTCACTTTCCAGATGAAGGCAAAATCTCAAAGAAAAGTAAAAGAAAAAGATGTGTTACAGAACCTACTAGGACTGGTTCACCAAATGTATTAGAAACAGAGGCTGAACAGAAAGGATTACTTTCAAACAAAACCAAAAATTCAGATGGGACATACATGTATGAACGAAAGCGTAGCCTCACAGATCCTGAGATATTGAAAGCACGGGATAAGTCAAAAGTCAAAAGTTCCTTTCGGAAATCACGAAAAAAAAGTGCAAATGAAAAAAGAACAGAAAGTATTTCGGTGCCTCAGGCATCTGCTACAAACAGTAAAATGTCTGGTTTCAAATTTAAAAAACCCAGAAGAGGATCATCTGCGAAAGACAAAATGTTATTCGGGTCTATGCGTTTGCCAAAAAAAGCAACCTTGTTTGAAACCACCAGAACCTATTCCATGGTGTCCCCACCTAGGAAAATTAGTCCTGCAACACTTTCTCGATATGAAATGTGCTCGCGAAGTTCACAGGATTGGCCAATGGCTCGGAAGCCAGTTTATCACTTTGGGGACAATAAAAAAACATCATTTCAGAGACCACGCACTGGAAGTGAGTATGAGGTGGTCCATACTAATTGCAATAAAGAGGAGCAAGAGGAAAAATTAGAAGGAGCAGTCGGTGGAACTGTTAGCGCAAGGGGTGACTGCTTCTTAGATGTTCCACTTCCTGAGCGGCAATCCATATCTTCGACCGAAACATTGGATCAGATTCTCTCTAGAATTTCGCTTAAAGACCAGGCTGTTGACACCCCAGATAGGAAATCACAATGTTCATCAGAAACTGGTGAAGTTTTAGAACTAGTTATGCTGGGAACAGACTCGCTTGTTGAAGAGTGCTTTTCGGAATCAACTCATGAGCGAAACAGAAAGATATCCCATAGCAGGACATTGTCTTTGCCAGATTGCAGCTATAGTCCATGGATGGCTGTGCCACAAATACCAGTCTCCATTATCTCGAATGATGAAGATGATCACTCTTCAACTGAAATGAAAAGTAGTGACACAAATGAAAATGATGATAATGATGTGGACTATGCAGAAATAGATTTCATTGCAACACAAAATATTGCAAAACAGAATATTAAAACATGAATTTCATTGTACATTCATATGACGTTTGCCTAAGTGTCTTGCTGTTTGTATTGTATTCCAGAATAATTCATTGTTTTCGTAGGTTAGTTACTGACTGTGTAGTTCATAGTTGAGGCCACATGGCTATACACGCCACTGGGTTGCATGAAGTCAGTCCAAAATTAAGGTCCCTGCACACTGTATCTCTATTTTTTTTTATGTTGAAGTAACTGCCATCTTATGGGGTAAAGTTTCCACTTGAATCTAGAAAATAAATTCAAATGCCTTCTGTTTTATCTTCTTGAATGAAATATACTGCGAATAATTTGCAGTATTCTGCCTTGCTTAGTGATACAATGTGTCAAGATAAGTCTGTAGTAATTCACACAATTTTAAATATTTTCTTGAATTAATTTATTTGCCAACAGAAAATCATAATCTTTTCTCTCTCATTGTTCGTTCCATTGTCTAGTCCACAACTATTACCTTATAGCAACTGAATTCTTGGCTCACATTGGAAAGCAGATTTAGAAGAAATCAATGACAATACTTGCTATTAAAATAATAATTACATTATTTTGGGGTTCAATTTGGTAGAGCTGTCCTGTGTGGTTATGTTACTTCACTTCTTGTTCGTTAACGTGCGCAAAAGGTCACGCTTCTCGGTACTTTCTCTAGCAAACAAATTTTTATCAAAATTCTCAATTATTAATTCACAAACCTCTAAACATTACAAATATTTACATATAGTATTGGGAGTTATTGCTGTTTTAGGGCAACAATGCCCCAAGAAAGTACCAGGATGAGTAACCTTCAGAGGGTCATGCATAATTCCTCGTCTTATTCATTTGTGTTAAGGTTTTACTTTCAAACATGGTAACTTTAGCTGAGGTTTACCTAGAAGGGTAGATTTGCATAATTTCATTAAGCCATGATTTCAAATATGAATTTTACAACGCCTCCAATATGCTTCAGGTTAAATATTATTTAAAATTGTATATAAATTAACTTATACATAAAAGTTATTTTTCAGCATTTATCGCCAGTAGTTTTAGTTACAATGCGTACAAATATGTTACAATGTATTTGTAATAAAAAATGGTGCTCTGTGTATGATTGTAAATACATTTTGTTCACTGTAACTATTCACGTTTTGATCAACTTTCATATACTGTGAAATACTTTATTTTCGCTTGGAATTAATTTTCGCTGAATAAATGATTCAGTGAAAATAAAAACCAGCGAATATACCTTTTTCCTACATTTTACATTCAACTGGTCAAAAATCGGTGAAAATAAACTCTATACAAAATGCCTAAAAAGTCTTTTTAGTGAAAATTAATTCCAGCTGTAATAAAATATTTTACAGTAGTGTGAGGTCACATGTGTTAGAATGCAAGGCATGAAAGACCTTGTTAGAGTAATTGAATATTTTATATATAGTGTATATTCTGCTGTTGATGATGGATTTCTGCAATCAGCATAAAACTAATCAAGAGATTAATGATGAAATAGTGTTTATTTTATTTTATTTTATTTTTGCGTTCTAACCATGGCTTGTTTGAACAAACTATGAACATGGTTTTTAAAATGGCAATATCTATGCAGTTAGCAAATATGTCAGATTTTTTACATTTTTGACTATTCAAGTGCCACATTGAACTGTTAATATTTCGCTAGTCCGGTATTACATCACAATGAACTATTAGTATTTCACTAGTCTAGTCTAGTCCTGTATTACACCATAGTGCCACATTGAACTGTTAGTATGTCACTAGTCCTGTGTTACACCATAGTGCCATATTGAACTGTTAGTATGTCACTAGTCCTGTATTACACCACAACGAACTATTAGTATTTCACTAGTCTAGTCCTGTATTATACCATAGTGCCATATTGAACTGTTAGTATATCACTAGTCCTGTATTACACCATAGTGTCATATTGAACTGTTAGTATGTCACTTGTCCTGTATTACACCATAGTGCCATATTGAACTGTTAGTATGTCACTAGTCCTGTATTACACCATAGTGCCATATTGAACTGTTAGTATGTCACTAGTCCTGTATTACACCATAGTGCCATATTGAACTGTTAGTATGTCACTTGTCCTGTATTACACCATAGTGCCATATTGAACTGTTAGTATGTCACTAGTCCTGTATTACACCATAGTGCCACATTGAACTATTAGTATGTCACTTGTCCTGTATTACACCATAGTGCCATAATGAACTGTTAGTATGTCACTAGTCCTGTATTACACCATAGTGCCATATTGAACTGTTAGTATGTCACTTGTCCTGTATTACACCATAGTGTCATATTGAACTGTTAGTATGTCACTTGTCCTGTATTACACCATAGTGCCATATTGAACTGTTAGTATGTCACTAGTCCTGTATTACACCATAGTGCCATATTGAACTGTTAGTATATCACTAGTCCTGTATTACACCATAGTGCCATATTGAACTGTTAGTATGTCACTAGTCCTGTATTACACCATAGTGCCACATTGAACTGTTAGTATGTCACTAGTCCTGTATTACACCATAGTGCCATATTGAACTGTTAATATTTCACTAGTCCTGTATTACATCACAATGAACTATTATTATTTCACTAGTCTAGTCCTGTATTACACCATAGTGCCACATTGAACTGTTAGTATGTCACTAGTCCTGTATTACACCATAGTGCCATATTGAACTGTTAGTATATCACTAGTCCTGTATTACACCATAGTACCATATTGAACTGTTAGTATGTCACTAGTCCTGTATTACACCATAGTGCCACATTGAACTGTTAGTATGTCACTAGTCCTGTATTACACCATAGTGCCATATTGAACTGTTAGTATGTCACTTGTCCTGTATTACACCATAGTGCCACATTGAACTATTAGTATTTCACTTGTCCAGTATTACACCAGTGTCGCATTAAACTGTTAGTATTTCACTAATCTGGTATTACACCATAGTGTCACATTGAACTGTTAGTATTTGACTAGTCCTGTATTTTACACCATAGTGCCATATTGAACAATTAGTATTTCACTAATCTGGTATTACTCCAGTGTCACATTGAACTGTTAGTATTTCACTAGTCCTGTATTACACCATAGTGCCATATTGAACTGTTAGTATTTCACTAGTCTAGTATTACACCACAGTGTCCCATTGAACTGTTAGTATTTCACTAGTCCTGTATTTTACACCATAGTGCCACACAGAACTGTTAGTATTTCACTAATCTGGCATTACACTACAGTGACACATTGAGTAGTTGGTATTTCACTAGTCCAGTATTTGAATAATGGTTTTGTTTATTTATAATTGTAATTTATTCTTAAATCATATGTTATTGCTTAAATACTACCAATTATAATTTGTTATATTTTTTTTTTTTTATTTAGTAGCTTCGTAAAATAAACAGACAAGTCCGGAAATGTTTTGCTTTCTTGTGATTATGCTTTTATGCATAGCATTGCAAATAATAATTAACATTTAAAGACTTTATTGAAAAGAACCAGT